TGTCGTAGCTCAGGAAGGGATGGCTCCAGAGCAAACTAATGTATGCAGTAGCCAAATTGCTCGCTCACAACTTTAATGCCATTAGCTCAGAAAGTAGAATTTTCGCTCACAAGACTCCACAGCTTAGAGGGAACATTGGTCAGGGGCCAGCATACCTGAGGGGAACGCCTTTCCCTACGTGTTCCCCAGAGAGCACTGAGTTCACGGTCGCAAAACTGACTGGCCCTCCTGGGTCTCGAGGATGCCAGGCTGGCCATAACCAGGGCCAGGACATTCTCAGTGGTGGCTCCGCTCTGGTGAAATGAGCTCCCAGAAGAGATCAGGGCTCCGCAGGACCTTATGCAGTTCTGCAGGGCCCGCAAGATGGAGTTCTTCCACAAGGCCTTCAACTAAGGAGCTGTCCCCAATAGCTGAAAGACAAAGAACCCTGTCCCCTGGAGCCACCAACAACAGCCTGTGCCAGCTGCATAAAGGAGAAGATCTATGAACTGATTATTAGGATAGATCATTGAATAGTAGCCGTCATTGCTAAACAATATTATTAATGTTTACTAGCCCTTTGTTGGATTGTTTTTAGAAGGTTTTAGGATTGTTTATAACTGTTATTTATGCGTTTTTACTTTTTTATGTAAGCTGCCCTGAGCCCGCTTTGGCTGGGAGGGTAGAGCATAAATCCGATAGATAAATAAATAAATAAATATTGGTCAGTTATTTCATTAAGAAATTAATTCCATTTCTAAAAAATGTGAACCAAGCACCTTGGTTTCCTCTTTCAATGCCCCATTTGTTTAATGACTGTACTTACCATTTGGTATATTAACTCCAGATGAATTCTATCATGTGATTTATTTCTCGTAAGACAATCATATTAACTGAAGTTATTAAAATACTATGTGACGTGTCCGAGGATGACTAGCACCAAAACAGGAAGTAAGCACCATCTGATGCTACTCCCCAGCATGCTGACAGCCTCACTAAGTACTGCTGCATAAGAAGAGCCTTCCCCCCCAGGGAGTAGAGGGAGAAAGGGCTGGTTGTCAGGTGCACTAGTAGAAATGGGCCAGCCAACCCACCCTGTATCTTTAGTCAGGGGCTATTCCTGTGGTGCAGGAGGGTGCAAAGGGTGCCACTAAAGACACCATCCTTAGTACTGTCCTTGGAGCCAACTGGAAGCCAGCCAGCCAGCCCATTTGCTTTTCACCATTATGACCTGCTTGAGGAACCATCAAAACTGTACTCGTTCTCACATGAAGTTCAGCTTAGTTGAAATAAGGTATGAAACGGAGAAGTTTATCTTGATGGAGTAAGTTAATTTTATGGAAAATGATCAATAATTAATTTTGGAGCCCTTAATATTATTTTGAGCTTAATTGTGAAAAGAGTATTCATAAAGAGAGACCTTGATTTTAGGGGGGAAACGATAATTTCATTACTCTTTACTTGAACTGTTATTGATGCAGATTTAGATGGTTTGTTAAAAAATAATGTAGATATGTCAATATTTTGGAATTAACATGGTAATTATATATACTGATTGAAGATATAAGCATTTAAAACATTTATTTATTATATTAATTTAAAGGGAAAGGGGTGATTGGTTCATTAATAGAAGGGCAACAGATCAGGATCATTTTTAAAAGCTTGGCTAGGAAGAAGAAGAAGAAGAATACATGATCTCTGAGACGAAAATACATTAATGGAAATACCAGATTTGGTAGAGCCTTTTATAAAATTGTTGGTTAAGGAACTTGAGAACTTGGAAGATAATCAATGGAAAGAGACCAGAAGCTAGAGGGAAGATTAACAGAAAGAGATAAAAGGATGGGAGAAAAAT